CGGCGGCGAGGAGGCGGCGCAGCCGAGTCGCGTCGCGAGCCACCGCTCGGGCCTGCTGGCAGCCTGCTGCGGACCCTGTGGCACCCGCCGGCCACGAGTGGAGCCGGGAGGAGGCCACGGGGGCGCTGCAAAGGCGGCGGCGGCGGCCATCCTGCGGCGTGTCGCGCCAGACGAGTGGGGGGTACATAGTGTGTGATTGATGTGTCTCGCGCCTTGCGGGGGGGGAGCGGAAAGGAGGAACCTCTTCCCAAGAGCACCACTCTTGGAGCGCCGCCACTACCACTAGCGCCGCCACTACCACTAGTGGGCACCATTGAGGTCAACATGCCGCTTTCGCGCAGCGCGGGGATGCTGCTGCTGCCCGTCGGCTGCTTCTGCGGCGCCTCTGGCTTGCTGTTGATGAAGGCGGCCGGCGACAGCAGTCCGGACCTCCCACCGTGGCTCCAAAGTGGATTGCGGGGTTCGTGCTGCTCGGCATCCTTGCAACGGTCGTCGAGGTGGCGGTCCTCGGGGTCCTGCCGCTCTCGGTCGTCGCGCCCTTCGCTGGCCTGACCATCGCGTTCTCGTTGCTCCTGGCTGCCAGCGGCCTGCTCACCTCTCCAGCAGAGAGGCTGGAGCGCGCGGACCTCGCGTGCATCGCTTTGGTTCTGCTGGGCGTGACTCTCGTATCCACATTCGGCCCGCACGAGGAGAGCGCGCCTTCGCTGCCCGCACTCCTGGCGGCGTATACGCGCCCGCGCTTTGCGCTCTTTGCTGCCGCTGCCTTGATCACCGCGGCTCTCGTTCTCTCCAAGAGCGTCTGCGGAGTCAGCGACAAGTCCTCGGTGTTGCCGCTGATCTCCGCCTTCGCCGCGGCGGCCACTGGCTGCATCTCCCAACTGATGCTTAAGGTCGTCTCGACCACCGCCTCTGCCTTCCCCGCGACTGCCGTGCCACTCGCGCTGGCGCTCCTCGGCCTCTGCGTCTCGGCGCCGCTGCACCTGACCCTCCTCAACCGTACTCTCGTCGGTGCGGCTGTGGCGCTCGCCGTGCCGGCCTACCAGTTCTTGCTCATCGTGTGCACCACGTCGGCCGGCGGCGTCCTGCTCGACGAGTTTGAGTCTCTGTCTTCGGGGGACCTCTGGGCATACGCGTGCGGGGTGGTCACTGCGACGGTCGGGCTCGTCGGTCTCTCGTACTTCA